GTTTATGCACCTTGCTTACAGTGAAAAATTCAAAGACTGGAAAAATGCAGAGAATCACGAAAAGGATTGTATGGGATTCTTTGTAGTGTTCCCTCTCTATAAATGAAATGAGCATTTCCAGAATTAATTAAAAAATAAATAATAAAACTGAACTTTAGGTACTGGAGACGCCCAATGGTGCTGCAAGGGCAAAGTACTGATCTCTGGAGTTGGACCAAGATCTGACGTCCGTGCGTTGTCAGATATTCAAGAAAAGCTGCAGTCTGATGGCGACACATTCAAAGTGATAGGAGTGCGATTGGTAGATGACAGGTATCGTGCATGTTCCATAAATTTCTGTTGAAAAGGACCAGTTGAATGCAAATGTTCCATTGAAAAGGAAATAATAAAAATGGAATCGGTATAAAAAGTAAAACAAAGCCAGTGCAACGAACGGCTCGTAGTAACTGTGGCAGAACCTCACATGCCCGGAATGCTGCTCTTATCGAACCAACCCCGCAATTGCATATTGTCGGTATTGGTATCAATAGCGATCTATACTCTCTCATTGACCTTCCGGGGAAGAAAAGAGCAAAAAAATCATGGAGAACACCAACCCCCTCCCCTATAGGCCTCATTGTACGAGTTGTTCTATCCTACTCTTTTCATGGTAGCAAATCGTTATCCTCCCTTTGGGCTCAGTAATCATTCATCCAGTGTTAACACCATCTAACAGTAGAAAAAACGAAAACACCGTGTAGAGTTGAGCTTGAGATAGACTTTGAGTGTTGGTGGGCGGGGCAACTGCGGAAGCGCCAGAACTGCCACTTATGAGAGCTGCAGCGCCTTTGTCAGCTTGTGAAGCTACGAAAGTGGAACAAACCTAGAGAATGAGGGCCAGACTCAGACTTATTGTGCAAGAACAGCATAACGAATTGTCTCGTAGCGGCGGGATCTGGCTTTGAATCGCATGTTATTGTCGTCAAGCATTGGGCAATTTTCATGAGGCATGACCGCGTCATGTGTTCTCACCTCTTACCTCTTAGCGTTACATATACGCTTAGTTCATGTAGGAACATCATGCCCCTCGCTCCCACGTCGCACAATGTGGCGTTGTTGCGACAGGGAGACGGGCAAGAGAATCGTAATTTGCCGCTCCGCCGCGCGCGGCGATGGGCGCGGCGTTTTCTTAACTCGTGTTAGCCTGTCGATTGGAGCACCGGATTTCACGTAGACTACGAATGTAGACATTTATGACTATTTTCGGTTCTACATTGCCTGTTGTCGCCATCCGCGACCTGGAACCACCTCGTTTGCCGGCGCGACGTCGCACGCGACGCCTGCAGTGCGGCAAATTACGATTCTCTTGCCACGTACCCGTTGCGACAGAACATGGCATGACTGAAAATAAGCCCATAGAGTAATCCCTCCCAAAGCATGCAACACCCATTCTCATTTATTTCCGCCACAAAAGCGGAAAGGATTTTAAAGACACCGCCTCAATTAGCTATTCACTTTTTTGACTCTATTCTTGATTCGTTTAATTTATCCGGCTAACAAGTTTCATAGGCGGCTAGGATGGTACTTTTACTGTAATTCGGTGAAGTTTCAGATTCTACCACCTCGATACCTGCTTTTGCCCTTTGAATGACGAACTCGCATTGTGCTATCCAAAAGCGTTTGATCCGGTCTGTCAGCATAATATGGCCAATTACGTCGAATTATTACCGGTACGTAGCTAGCTATGAGTTGGTCACCACGTACTTTTTTAGTCTCTCGGCATATTTCATTCCTCTCATGGGATGTCAGCTATCCACCCCAAAACTTGAGAAAAAGCCCAGCGCTGCAGCCAGCGTTGACCACTGAACGTATTACAGCTTGAGCCCTATAGAATAGCGAAATGGGCCAAATGCCCTGATTAGCCCGACTCACACAACACAATACGAAAATTTGAGTAGCTGTACTAGTCAATAGTGGCAGTGACGGATGATGCCAACAACAGTTGGCGCCTCATCCGACGTCCATTCAGTTCCATGAAATGCTGGATGTCTACACTACTTATCCCTGAGACGTAGTAGGCGTGGCATTCGAACATGGTCTAGGATGGTTTACTCGTGGAATATTTAGGCTTTAGACCTGTCATCTTATTCATTCTCGGACAGAGACATAACCACTATGGTGCCAAAATGATAATATCTGACCAGAAGCACAGCAGTCGCCACGTTTGGATGAAGTACGCTGCCACGCCTACCACATCTCGTAAATTTGGGGTGTATGTACTGTGCAAAAGTGTCCTAACTCGCAGCGAACTCGGTATAGATAAGGCAACGTTCGAACGCTAGGGGTGGTCATGAGTAATTTTCGCCTGGTGAGCATGTTATTTTAATATTAGTTTGAGAACGGAAGCAGTTAGCTAAATCGAACGTAGTATAGCTGGTTTCCTTCCGTGGGCAGCGTTAATGAAATACAGGAAACTCAGGCTTTTAAAAGCTCATTGAAGAGCTTGCTTAGAGTTAAGTATGTTCCGTTCAGCTTTGGAAGTTAAAAATTTTCCTCATCAACGAAGTATTGAGGCATTCACAAAACATTGAAATTCTCTGTCACGGGAGTTGGACGAAGGCTCACTTAATAGGGATACGCATGAACTGGTTTTCTGTTCTCTGTTCATCTGTTCAATCACTGTATACCAGGAGATAGCGTAATTTTACGAAGCCGATTTAGTGGTGGCGTGGTAGTGAGATTTGAACGTTTGCCGCTTACGCAAATATGCACATTTGTATTGTGAAACTAATGATGCTCAGTTTAATGAAACTGAACCCTGACCAAGTCCAGTAATACTAGGAAGGAGCGGAAATCTTTGAGACCGCCGTACGAAGAATCCTGAGTCCAATAAAAGGGACTCTCGGCTCCGTGGGATGCGAGTGTAGTCGTAGAGATCACTAGCTAGCGCCATATTATGGATACCTGCGATAGAGACAAGGAGATCTATCGTGCGAGCAGCGAAAGAAGTTTTTGGATGGAAAATGTGGTCGCTGCAAAACGCCTCACCCAGTGTACACTCCTAAACTGCTGAGACGAGTAGGCGTGGCTTTTGAGCATGGCATAGGACGGCTTCTCCTGGGATACTTCAATTCGAAACAACCGCTATATTGTTCTGTATTAGATGTAGACATGAATTAACGACTAGCTCCAAAATACAATATCTGCACGTAAACTGTGCCTCGCCATTATCAATATCAGTATGCAACACGCTACCCGCTCAGGGATTCGCAGTATATCTTTTGGAACTCTATGTGCAAACAGCCTTAGAAGATGCTTAGCACTTCCTCTCCAGCAACAGTTAGAATAGTACAACAGGAATGGCCAACATCCTTTGGTGCCATTGTGCAGCTAATTTCTTAAAATATCATGACGCACTGCTCCTGTTGCTGCTCAGAGTTATTCCTATGCCGCCTTGAGATCCTCAAGGCTCTCAACCAGTCTTGCTTTGATTGGATCCTACCTACATTCATCAGTCGGTTTGTCAACTTTGGCTTAGGAATGGTTTTCGCATCATTCTCACAAGTCACGGCTTGAGTCTCAATAGGGATCGACCATGTAGCTCTCCAGAGTGCAGACAAGAGGGTTCTGCTGCTACTCAGGCATTCTTGCCTCACCTATATGAACTGCGTACCAGTTGGGTTGAAAGGTCGCTTAGTTGGTTCTATTTCTTCGCCCTTAATCGAACGTGTTCAGGTCGAAGAAGAAGAAGCGAAGAACTTTGCCTGCAATGCTGTTATCGTCGGTAAGAATGTGATAATGAACGAGGGAAGTGAGAAAGCTGCCAAGGTGAGCGGCTCCAGCCATAATCGTGATTGAAACTAATATGAAAGATTTTTTGCAACACGTGCTGTAAAGTGTAAAGTCAAATGAAAAATCAGAAACTGTTGGGCACGGGGCAAGGAGGGGGCTTTCCTTTCTTAGTAGGTTTCGTTTTTAGTTCCTGTTAATATGCACGTGTCAGCTCGGAAACTTTTGTTAAGCGTAGACGACGCTAGTGCTAATGTGTCGCTTAAAGTTTTAGGTCTCCTTAGAAAATGCCGTCAACGATCTATAGGATTCAGTAGAGTGCCAATAGCAAGCCAAACTGAGCTAGAATCAGCTGCATCATAGCAGCACTAGTGCTCTGTAAATGTTGCATGAAAAGGTTTAAGGGTTGCCATGTTTTCTTCTAGGTTTCTACTGGCAGAGGGGAACTTGGTAAGAGAAGACTTTGAAATGACCTTGATCCTGTCAATAGACAGGATTCAAACCAATGAAGCTAATGGAAACATGGATACTGCCATATACAGCTACTTCTGTGTTCATTAGGGAGCGCTCAGACTTCGCGACGACAGCTCTTCGGTCGCGCGTTCGACGCGATCGATGCGCATGCTTTCAACTGCATCTCGAACGAGCGTTCAGACTTCGCGACGGCGACGAAAGAGCTGCCCTCGCGAAATCCGAACGCTGCCTCAGAAGCAACTTTCCCATTGTAAGTGTGAGACAAAGAAGCAGCAAACCTGTACACTGGAGACTGTCATGTGGAAACGAACAAGGAAGTTTTCTCGGGGTTCCTAACTACAATTAACTCTGATTCCTTTCCAGTAATTATAATAATAATTGCAACAAGAGCCGGACGTGACAGAAGTACTGTTCATTTCAGCTTCTTGAAGAGCACGGTTTCAAAGCGCATTTCGTTCAAGTGTCAGAATTTCTGAAATCTGGTGGATCAACAAGATGCCTCACACTTGCGATTGGATACATAAATTGTTTATGAAACTATTTCGTACGACACACGTTTGTTCTAGGATGCCCCTTCTCAATTCTGGCGAGCGTCCCATGCCCATGTCCCATATCTTATTCACTAAGAATAAAATGAAACATGGGCGCACTAGAAATGGATCTGCGATTTTACATACACGAGGATAAAGAGGAGTTGCAAATAGCATCAGGTGCTGGCCCACCAGGTCCCAACTGACCTGAAGACAGTTCTCGCGATCACGTGAACAGCGAAATACCTCTGTGCATTTAACATCTAGGTCCGCACTCGCAAGGCGTATATCGATGGTTCAGCCGACACCTCAAACTTGGGTAATTAAACGTTTATCTGGTAGCACCGCAATAAGAAAGAATTAAACTGTAAAGCTCGGCTCACCAGGGCTCCTTTTATGCTGGTCAAGTGGGCGGAGCTCGCTGGTATTGGCAGGAGATATAAACATGATAAGGAAATGTTGTGAGAGAAGCCTATACAATCGTTCAGATCAGCCTACTGATAACGATATTGGAGCTTACAAGTCTATTAGTACAACAGAATAAGTAAGAGATAATGTCATAATGGTTACAATAATGATACAATAATGGTAATGTTACAATCGCTAAATAGAGCGAGAGTCTCTATACTCCCGGGGACACGATAACTGCCAGCTTCTGGATCCACTGCTCAGCCCTCTCTCTTGCCTCCTTCTCAGGTACGATTCGACGACGATGATGAGGAGCTGCGACGTCCATCACGAGTATCGTCTGGTCGTGTGCCTTCTCTCGCCCTCTCGCGTCCTTTGTCATGCTCCGCTGTCGCGCTTCCTCCACGTCTCCTTCTGTGTTCATCGTCCCGAGTGTGGCTTCCGGTCCGACGGCGACGATCCTCGCGACTACGATTGACTCCTCAGCTGCAAGTCTCGCATTTCCCTTTCCAGCCTTGATTCCCTTGACTGATATCTTTTCCTTCTCTCCTTCAATTCGTCCATCTCTTTAGTGGAGCTGACTCTGCCCCCCTCTTTCCGCCACTCCTTCTCGATGTCTCTGTTGACCTCAAGCATGGAATCACGGACTTCCTTCAGTTCTTTCTCCGTCTCGCTCATCTGACGTCTGATGCGTTCCACCTCTGGGGTGGGCTCCGCGGGGGCACTTGTCGTTACTGTGTTGCCCTCTGAGAGGCGAGAGCCAAACTCTTCGACGCGTCCCTGAAGAGCACGAATGTCGAGGGAGAGCTGTGAGATATTGATATTGTCCACTGCGCCTCGCAGTTCCTTGAGGTTATCACGAAGATCATTCCAATGATTTTCACTTGTCGCGTGCTCTTTTTCAAGGCTGGCTGTGTTCATTCTCTCTTTGATCTCTTTCTCCATTTTTTCGAAACGATCCGTGAGTATGTTTAGTTTCAGACTCAGCGTGTCCAGCTTTCCTTCGGTTGTCTTGTGCCTCTTCATGTTCTCCAAATGATAGGCTCTGACCAGATCTTCGATACGCTGGAGACGCTCAGTTGTCTGCGGACAGGGAGCTGTCGTTACCGCAGGGGCGAGCTGGTCTACTTTGCTCGCGGCAAGGTGCAGAGTTCGGGATCCTTGCAATAAGAGTTCCTTCAGAATGGTCCCAGAAGCTCGTCCTTTCTTAGGTGGAATATCGCCGGCTTCTTCTGTCGACGAAGATGACGATGACGAAGACGAAGACGAATTTCGTTGACGTTTTGGGGCGGAGGTCGTCGAGGTTGTGTCCGCATTAGTCGCTGGCCTCTTTCTGGCGATCTTTGCAGGCTTCGAACTTACTGACTGCTCGGCACTTGGCTTGATGGGCTTAGCAGTAGACGCAGATGTCTTGGCGGCTTGTCTGGTTCGTTGAGTACTCTTGTCAGTAGGAGTAGTGGGCTTCGTGGCATTCTTGTCTATGGGAGTAGTAGACTTCATGGCTGGCGTAATAGATGCCGTGTCCATGGCTAAAGAGAGATCATAAGGAATCGTAGAATTTGTCTCATAAGCTGGTGCATGCGACAGAGTAAAGCTCTCATAGGAGTTTCTCCAATCCCTTCGTAGGATTTTGGAGAGTGCAAGAAGCCATTCTCCATGCAGCCTTCAATATACAAAGAGGAATTCTTCCTATCTTTCGTGTGATTATCCATATCATGCGTAGCACACATAGGATGATATTTAATGCCACAAGTGGAAAGGAATAAGTATCCTATTACGCTTGCGAGTATAAGAACGCCGCACACAATCAGAAGTGTCTTGTACCAAGACAGGAAGATTTCGACGATGTGTCCGAAGTCAGGGAACACAAGCTCGTCGTATACACTGCTTTCGCCTGAGATAATCTTCAGAGTCGATCCCCTGATCGTACGTACCCATTGTAGGATACCAGTGATCTCAAAGTCCGTTTCCGATTTTCCACACGAAACTTTGCACTCTTTCTTGACTCTTGCGGATGTATGTGTAAATCGCAATGTCGATGTTGCCCCTTTTCGGTCGCAGGGAATCGTGAAGAAAAGATCGCTGCAATGTACTGTCGCCATTGTGTCATTTCCGTCTGTGGTGCATGTTACTTGTGCAGTAGCTCCTTGAGGACAGTGGTAACATCCCGTAGCAATCGAATTTGGAATAGTGCACACGGAATCAGTCACCATTGTGACTGTTTTGTCCACATGGTCCTTCAGATGGATAAGGAATTCTGCCGTTGTGAATGATGGAATTTCCGCTATAACTGATGCAGGATCTTCCTTTGATGCTGTGAATGTTATCCATGGACGACGTATTGGAAAGCGTGTTTCTATGTCCTTTGAGAAAACCTCGGTTATGTTAACATTAACGCATAGGCAGTTGATCTTGTTTTCGGCTGGCTCGCAATTGCATGACGTGGTTACCGAGCAATTGAGCGATTCAGCATCACTTTTCGACTGGCACTGAAGATGTGGTTTTTCTCTATGGTTCCAGATGGCTAGATGTGATCCATCGGAGATGAAGGTTGATGACAAGGCTGGAGTTGGTGGAACAGCTAGTGCGCTGAGGGTGATCCGCATGCTGTCTGTGTTGGTCGGCACGGTAGGCCGCACTTCTATAACCTTCTTCACTAACCCCTTTTGTCTTCTAATCGTAGTGATTTCCAGTGCCACTTCCTGTTGCCATTGCGAGCATTTGAAGATTTCGTAAGTTTTCGCGTCCGTTGGCACGTGAAATATTCTGTAAAACAGGCATCCGCTACTGAGATAGAAGCAACCACACCCTGGGCCTCCACAGCTTTCGACACAAACAGTTAGTCCGGGATAGCGATTTCCGTGCTCGGGTTCGGGTATGAGTGCTGAAGTGTTGACGGATGCGCCTTTGTCCTTTGTACAGGTGCCAGAGTGGGGACCTTTTAGAATCTACTACACGTTGGACAGTGTTCCTTGTGGAAACGATGTCTTCTTTCACGACGCACTCTTAGTCGGAGGTGTTTCCATTGGAATTCGGAGTTCCTTCTCCACTGTCCCGTTACGCGTTAATCGAATGCATGCCTCTTTGTTGAAAGTGTTGAGTTTCACTACTTCCGTGGTTTCCAACGTGCATTGTTTGTGTCCTGTAGGGGAGAACGAGCACACGGAGTGCCGATGTGAGAAGACGTCGATGTCTTGGCAGGTGAGTGCGGGTGGCGAAAAGGCAACTACGCAAACGATTGCTAGGAGTGGTGCCTTCAACAGTGCTTCGACATCGTACCTCCTTCGTCGGTATCGTCGGAACTTGTCACAGTGTTGCCACAGAAGACATCCAATCGTTGTGAATGCTGCTTTACAAATGAGGCGACATGGCTTTCCGATTACCATTGGGACGTAACATAGCACATACAGGAGTGCAATGACAATGTACAGGATTGCTGCGGTCGCTGCAATGGCTGCCCGAGGTGAGCATTCCGGGTTGAACAAGTTCGCAGTGCAGAACCAACACCGAACATGTTCGCAGAAGGATACAGGTAAACAGGTTGTTTCGAGCACCGTCAGGTTGCGACCATCGAACAGTTTCAGCTGGACATGGTGCTCCTGCGAGAGGATTTCGGGTGGGAGTAGAATCGTTTCATTCCCTTGAGGGTGTTCTGACACATGACAGTGACCTTCTGCGCAGAATTCGTAACGTTCAATATTTCGCCTGGTAACCACGACCCCTCCTGGGATGCACTGCACTTTCGTGGCGAATGCTTGCTGCAGGCATGAATATTGTGAAACAAGGGATGAAGGATTGGAGTGTGGCTTTTGTGCTCACTGAGTAAATTTGGGACCCTTGTGTCGTGACCTCGTTATAATTCACATGTTTGCGTGGTCGAAGATTATATCGATGTAGTACGTCCTTCTGCTCTTGGGCTTCGTTAGAAGGTCGGTCCTCTTGCGAAACCTCTCCCTCAGGTGGTCCTGGTTGATCAGGTGAATCTTCCAACTCCAGTGGAATGAGATGATTGAATCGGTCGGCGTACTCGTCCTGAAGGCAGATTGAGCAGTGCTTCTCTGGTTTTTCCCGTTTCTAAACGAGGCCATTAAACGATTCGTCCTAGCCGCCATGAGTTCCGTGGTATTAGAGGGTCTGCGATCAAAACAACGTTTCCGATGGCTGGCAAAAGAGTTGAACATCTCTTGTTGTCCATGGAGAGCTTGTGTGTTTCTCGTAAACTACGAAGGTAGTGCTCATTCCAAACCTTCCAGAATCGCTCCGTCAACTCGTGACTAGATTTGAGAGCCTCTTCCGCTTGTTTCCTCGTTCTCAAATGGACTGCCTCGTTCGCCGGGTTATAATCGGCATCATTGAGATCTCCAGTGATTGACTCAAGCGGGTATGCTATTACTATATCACGTTGAATGAAGTCGATTGGTCTGAGAATTGGTGTGTCTTGCCAATGCTCTTCCTGGTACGTCAACGGTCTGCTGTTGAGTGTTCCTTCTACTTCTGTCAGAAGAGTCTCAAGTGTCTCCACGTGAACGACTTCTCTTTTGATGACTTTGTATAGGGAGTGCTTCACAGACTTGATCAATCGCTCGTAAAAAGCTCCCTGCCACGGAGCATATGGGGTGATTGTTCTCCACACTATTCCCTTCGTGGCCATTGCTGTTGAAAATGAGACGTCGTTGATTACAGGAAATACTGCATCATGAAGCACTTGTTCTCCGAGTAGGAAGGATGGTCCGTTGTCCGATGTTATACTTTCTGGGACACCTCGTCTCGCGAAGAACCTTCGCAGTGCATGTAGCAGATGCTCGGTAGACATCTCCCGTACAAGTTCGAGGTGAAGCAGTCGTGTGACCGTGCATGTGATGATGATCCCATAAACCTTGATCGGAATGTCGTTCTGCTTTGCCGACATTGGTCCAAAGTAGTCAATCCCGACGTGTTGGAAAGGGCGTGTACGTATTACACGTCGCTCAGGTAGATCTTCCATGTCGGGGTATTTGAAGGGAAGATTATTCAGTCGCTTGGCATGGAATGCATAGTCGTATGAATTGCTTGACTAGTTGCCGTAGCTTTGGAATCCAGAAATGTTGTCGGACGTTGGCAATGGTTTGTGCGGTACTGCAGTGGTATGGAAGATGTGCTTCCTTCACTATAGCTCGGGACAGATCCGTTTTCGAAGCTACTAACATGGGACTCTTCGTGTCGAAGTCCATGTGAGCCTTACCGAAACGTCCCTTGGCATCGTAGTATTCCGGCTTCATCTGGCTTTACATTCAGTTGTTTCAATGATTTCACCTGCGATGGTGTGGTAGTATTCCGGCTTCATCTGGCTTTACATTCAGTTGTTTCAATGATTTCAGCTGCGATGGTGTGAAATGGGTTCTTTGGTGATGACGAACTAGAAGCACGCAAAGCCATTTCGTTTTCCGTGGCTGTGATGTACGGTTCTGATGACATGTAACAGAGCTCTGGTATGTTGCTTTCTATGCGCTGCCGCAGATCCTTGTTCACCCTTAGAGAAAGTTGACGGATAAAGCGTAGAACATATGCGAGTGTGCGTTTCGCGGAAGGCAAGTAGTTGTGACGGCTCCAATCCAGAAGATCTGTTGTGGGTTTCGTAGTCGCTGCAACAGTGCATGTCTCTTCTTCAGTCGATTCCGGTATAAGGGTGAACAGACGGCATTCGTCGGGTGGAGAAAGGGGATATCGTAGGAACTCTGGACCTTTCCACCAGATATGGCAATCGAACTCTGTTTTCACCAGTCCCCTTGTACCGCAATCTGCAGGATTGTTTGTCGACGGAACAAAGCCGAACAGAACTGGTGCTGGAAGTTTGGCCACGATCTCCCTGATCTCGGTTTTTCTGTTTCTGACAAGTACTCCAGCCGATTTTTCCAACGTCGTCGTCTTGATCCAGTTAAGTGCTATTTCCGAGTCGGAGAATATATAAACTTGCACAATGTTGACGCGCTGACAGATTGCACTATAGATCGAGTAGGCCAGTCTCACTGCCATTGTGATCGCGTTGAGTTCTAATTTTGGAATCGTTGGGTTGTCCTTCAAGGATGGTAGTTTTGACTTCCCAGCGAGAAGATAACTTCCGTCTTCCGAGACCAAGTATGAACAAGCACTCATTCCCTTTGCACTTGCGTCTGAAAAAAGGACCAGCACTGATTCGGCATCGATCTGTGCTACTTTTCGTGGAAGTGCAATTTGAAATCCACTGGCATCTTCGACAATTTGGCACCACGCCTGTTGATGTTCCACTGTCAGTGGAGTATCCCATCCGTAGTCATGTGCCCACAATTGTTGTAAGAACTGTTTTCCTCGTAAAGTTAGAGGCGTAAGTAATCCGAGTGGGTCATATATTGACGCAACTTGCTCTGAGATGGATCTCTTTGTCGGTACGGCTGGTGTAGGTGGATACTGACACTTCAGGAGGATCTGGTCTTCTTAACCCATATTATGATTTATAGGTTTGAACCAAGATATTTCCCTTGAACCTCAATAGTTTGGAAATCTGAAACCAG